GGAGGAGCCTAAAAACATCGGGGCTCACAGCTGGGGAAGGACCACGAGGTCCTTGTTTGGCCGATCCCCCAAACGGCAGGCTTACAAACGCCATTTCCTCCCCCCCACAACTCTTCTCCCTGCTCACACGTTGACTCCCTCCTCCATTTACGGATCGCTCTGACGACAGTTGCCATGACACCCGAACTGAGAAAGCCTCCAAACCGTGATCTGAAGCGGGTTTGGCAACCGTGGTTTGGAGGTTGGCTTGGGCATCGATGATTGTAGCAACCTGGAAATGGGGGAGGGACTGGGTACGAGACGGGAGGGCGGGGAGGGGGCAGCTGTCAGCATGTCTTCTAAACCATGGTTTACCGGATGGGAGGGCCTGAGCCAATCAGGAGGCTGCTATGCCGGCCGGGGCTATGATCTCATTTTGACTATTCCATTTGATTTCTTAATTATTAATGGTCACCGCAGCCCATAATGCACTGCAGACTATTAAGAGATGCCATTAAAGAAATATGAGCTCTTATGTTAAAAGGAGGGGGGTAAGCGCTCGCACTGAACGCGGGGTGGGGTGGGGTGAAAAATATCTGCATTTCATTTCAAAATGCTTTCCAGAAATAGGCGGGGCCGGCAGACAAAGACAAGCTTGCCTTTTAGAAAGCCAGCAGCCGGGTCTGCCATGTCTACAGAGTGCGGAGAGTCTGGGAAAGAGCATCCGTAGGGAGGAGGCGATGGGGGGGACAAAAGGGACAGAGACAGGCGGAACAACAAGATAAAGAGGCGGCCGGCCGGCATGACTTCATATTTCAGACCTGCGGTTCCATATGGGAACAATTCTGCTTTCGGTAGAACACGGAGAGAGGCAGAATATTAAGAACAGATTAAAGAGGAGGGGAGAGGGAAAGGGTCGGTAGGAGTGGGGGGGGAGAGAAAACAGAAGGTAGCGATGGAGGGGTGATAGACAACAGCCTGCGCTAGTGCGAGGCTGGGAAAAGACCCCCCACATAAGAACATAAGAGACGCCAATGTTGGATCGGGCCAAAGGCCCATCCAGTCCAACACTCTGTGTCACACAGTGGCCAGAAATACCAGGTGCCGTCAGGAGGTCCACCAGTGGGGCCAGGACATTAGAAGCCCTCCCACTGTTGACCCCCCCCCCAAGCACCAAGAAGACAGAGCATCACTTGCCCCAGAGCCCCTATCTATACCTTGTGGCTAATAGCCACTGATGGACCTCTGCCCACTGAATCTCATCCCGCGGAGAAGCTGGGCCCTCCAGGCTAAACTCTCTCTAGAAATCTAACCCCGATAATAAGAGACAAAGTTATCCAAGCTTTGGGTTCCTTCCCAGTTCAGACTTCTTGTCCCAAGCTCACCTGTTTCTTCTTTTGCTCTGACTCCTCCAATGTCTGCCCTTACACAAGTTTCTCTCTCCCCCCCCCTCTCTACTTCGAAAGCCGCCCACCTTTCTTGACCCCGCCAGGCCATAGGAGTCATAAAAAGGCAGCTGGGGAAATCCACCGGTGTGGGAGGGGTGCCATCCCCTCACCCTGCTACCCCACCAGCTGTGAGCTGACCAAGGAGGTCGGGAAAGAATGCAGCAGGGCTGGGTCTAGGGCGGCAGAGAGACCGTCCTATAGGAAGGCGGACTATAACTGCCACCGAGAACAGAAAGCTGGATTTCGATGAATGCTTCAACCCACAGCAGCTCTGCCCCAAAGCTCTCCAACTGGCCTTGGGCAGCCGGTTCTCTCTCTCACGGGACTGCAATAATGAAAACAGGGATCGTAGGGCACTCGGCTGCACACAGAAGGATAACGCAATACCAGAGAGTGCAGCAGACGGCACGACGGCAGGGCAGCTAGACCCCCAGAAGCCCAGATTATGCTCTGCGTTTTAGGAACACCAGTGGGTCCCAAACGCACAGCAGTAGATCTTTAAGCCTCAGGGAGCCACGCGGAACCTGTCAAAGGAACGGCTTCTAAAGGGCCTTGCCAGCAGGAGTTCCATCACGCCGGTCTCGAGAGAGCCCTTGACTGTTCCCAGCAGCAGTGGGGGGAGAACACAGCAAGCTGTCTCAGGTACGGGCAAGTGCCAAACGATTTAGAGCTAATTAGAGCCAGGCTGAGCATTTTTCCCTTTCCCAAAGCCCCCACTGGCAATCCTGTCCCCCAAGCACCTGGCACAAATCACCGCCGTGATTAAAACTGGCAAGACCCAGGCGGCCTCTAAATCCCCCGAGCCTCGGTGCCGGATCTCTCCCATTGGTCACAGCGGCCTGCTGGCGGCAGAACGTGGCTCTGCCCGCCAAGCCAAAGAGGGGAGACACGGCGGGGCCTGCCAAGGCCATTGGCTGCTTTCTGGGAGTCGGCAGAAGTTCAGCCTCGCCGAGATTGAGCCGCAGCCAGGCGAGCCCTCCGCCCTGCGGGTACGCTTGGCGCTCGTTCCAGTGCCTGAGCTGCACAAGGCCACGGGCAGGAGGAAAAGAGAGATTCTCGGCCTGCTGTATCCTTGCTGCATCCACAGGTTTCTTGTCTCCTCTAGCAGCATCTGTCCTTTTGCTATACAGATGGCGGCACCCCGCAAATAGGGATCGGCCGAGGGCTCCCTTGCTGGGAGTCCTAAAGCATTTGCTCATTTGTGCACTTTGGCACCAGAACAGAGCCTGATTCATCACTCCTCCCCTGAGAGAAAAACTGTTTTCTCCCCAGAAAGCCGGTCAGGAGAATACCTGAGATATCCTCGGACCCCCTAAGAAGAAGAGGAGGAGGAGGAGGAGGAGGAGATTGGATTTATACCACACCCTTCACTACCCAAAGGAGTGCTGGACTGGGACCTGGGAGAATCAGGTTTGAACCCCCACTCTGCAACAGAAGCTTTCGGGGTGACCTTGGACCAGTCACACACGCTCAGCCTCGCCTACCTCACAGGATGGTTGTGAGGATAAGGCGGAGGAGAAGAGAACGACGCAAGCTGCTTTGGGTCCCCCTTGGGGAGAAAGGCAGGGTAGAAGTGAATAATAAGCCAAGTAAATTCTTGGAAATGTTGGATTAATGCCTGGGAGGGAGAAATACGTACGCTGATTTTGGGTCCCCAGGGAGGAGGGAGGTGGGGGCATAAAATTAATAAATAAATCCCAGGATGGCAGAAAGGTAGGTATGAATATAACAACCAAGCGTGCAACACTGTTTGTGTCCAGTGGCACCTTTAAGACCAACAAAGTTTAATTCTGGGTATAAGCTTACACCCAGAAAGGTTGAAGGAGCTGGGTATGTTTAACCTGCAGAGGAGACGGGGATATGATCACCATCTTCAAGTACTTGAAGGGCTGTCATAGAGAGGATGGTGCAGAGTTCTGTTGCCCCAGAAGGTCGGACCAGAACCAACGGGTTCAAATTAGATCAGAAGAGTTTTCGGCTAAACATGAGGAAGAACTTCCTGACGGTTAGAGTGGTTCCCCAGTGGAACAGGCTTCCTTGGGAGGTGGTGGGCTCTCCTCCTTGGGAGGTTTTCAAACAGAGGCTAGATGGCCATCTGTTGTCTCTTTAATGGTACTTGGATTATTACTGTTAGCACCTTTTAATGTTGTTGTGATTGTTATATGGTTTTAGGCTTATACTATTTATTGTTGTTTTTATGCTGCTGTAAGCTGCATGTTCCTGGGATCCCAGATCACTGCAGACTGTGACAGCAGCCATGAAATTAAAAGACGCCTGCTCCTTGGGAGGAAAGCGATGGCGAACCTAAACAGCATGATAAAAAGTAGAGACATCACCCTGCCAACAAACGTCCGCATGGTCAAAGCAATGGTATTCCCAGTAGTCACGTATGGCTGCGAGAGTTGGACTATAAGGAAGGCCGAGTGCCGAAGAATAGATTCTTTTGAACTATGGTGCTGGAGAAGACTCTTGAGAGTCCCTTGGACTGCAAGAAGAACAAATCAGTCAATCCTCAAAGAAATCAACCCTGACTGTTCCCTGGAAGGCCAGATAATGAAAATGAAGCTCAAATACTTTGGCCACCAAATGAGAAGGGAGCACTCACTGGAGAAGACCCTGATGCTGGGAAAGATTGAAGGTCAAAGAAGACGGGGACGGCAAAGGATGAGATGGTTTTCAAACAGAGGCTAGATGGTCATCTGTTGTCTCTTTAATGGTACTTGGATTATTACTGTTAGCACCTTTTAATGTTGTTGTGATTGTTATATGGTTTTAGGCTTATACTATTTATTGTTGTTTTTATGCTGCTGTATCCTGCCAACCTAGCAGTTCGAAAGCAAGAAATTGCAAGTAGATAAATAGGTACCACTTCGGTGGGAAGGTAACAGCGTTCCGTGCGCCTCGGTGTTTAGTCATGCCGGCCACATGACCACGGAAACGTCTTCGGACAGCGCTGGCTCTTCGGCTTTGAAACGGAGATGAGCACCGCAACCCTAGAGTCGGATTCGACTGGCTTTCGAGCAAGGGAACCTTTACCTTTACCTTTAAGCCCGCCCTGAGCCGGCCATGGCTGGGAGGGCGGGGTATAAATGCAATCAATCAATCTGTCACCAATGCTGGTTCTGTGAACTTGGGCAGATCAGGAGAGGGAGGGCAGGAGGGGTCGCCTCAGTGCTTAGTTCTTGTGGCCCTTTCTAACACGCCCAGGGAAATGCTGACTGCCACTTTGGGGTCAGGAAGCAATCCTGGAGGGGGTTTTTTTGTCATCCTCTGAGCGTGGATCAGCAGTCACTGCGGTTGTGGAGGGGAAGGTATTTGTGAATTTCCTGCATTATGCAGGGGGCTGGACTAGATGACCCTGGAGGTCCCTTCCGACTCCATGGTTCTATGACTCAAACCTCGTTCTGTTGCTTCAGACCAACACGGCTACCTCCTGAAAGCGTGCAACACTGTTTGTGAAGCCACATCTCCAAATACAGGCAAGGCCCTACTTCTGTTGGATTGTTCTTCAGCTGGTAGATCCTGACTCCCCACCCCACCCCACCCCTTTCAGGAAGGCCCCGCTGAACCCACCTCATGAACTGGCTGAAGGCTTTGTAGTTTGTCAGGGTGTGATAGTCCTCTTCAGTGAAGACGTGGTCCACATCCTCCAGTCCCCAGGTCATGAGCAGCTGAGCAGAGGATTTCTGCTCCACCTTCAAAGGAATAATAATCCAATGGTTCAGGATGTTTTAAGTCGCCGAAGCGTGCCTTCAAAAAAAACCAACCACCACATTGGATGCAACCACCAGCCCAGGGTCTTGGGAAAGGAGAAGCCCCTGGAACGTCAGGCCCTTCTAACTCTTCCCGTTCGTGGACAGTGATGTCACACCAACGGTGTAATAAGGATGCACAGGGAATCCCTGAGGCAGCTGCACTGTAGCTGACAGAACGACCCTCAAAAGAACAGCCCCATCCCTAAACCCCGGCTGACTGGGGAAAGGGGAAGGGGAAACGCGAGGAGACCGTAGTAACTGAGCTACCCTGCAGCTGTAAAGAGGAGGATGCCTGCTATTGTTCTGCCAGCTGGGGAGGAAAATACATTTCTCTCTCTCTCTCTCTCTCTGTCTGTCTGTCTGTCTGTCTCTGCTTTGGAGTCTGTAGTGGAGCATGTCTTGAATTTTAGGGCAGGGAGGGAAAAAGATGACGAAAAAGAAGACGAAGAGATGGGATTTATACCCCGCCCTTCACTACCCAAGGGAGTCTCAGAGCGGCTTACAAACTCCTTTCCCTTCCCCTCCCCACAACAGACACCCTGTGAGGTCGGTGGGGCTGAGAGAGCTCTGACAGAAACTGCTCTTTTTCAAGAACAGCCGTGCTGGAACCATGGCTTGCCCAAGGTCATCCAGCAGCTGCAAGTGGAGGAGTGGGGAATCAAACCCGGTTCTCCCAGATTAGAGTCCGCGCACTTCACCACTGCACCAAACTGACTCTCACAAAGATCTTGGAAACGTCACTTTAAGGCAGGGGCCCTCAACCTTTTCTGGGCCTACCGGCACCTCTGCAATTCTGATACATTGCGCTGGGCGCAACCACAAAATATCAGAGAGTAAAGACACACATAACTGTAACAGTAACTCTTCAATGCTTCGAGCAGAAGCTCTGTCTAACAGGATACCTTTTAAAACAAACAAGGTATTGTCTTCAAAGAGATCTTTAAGTCATGCAGTGAAGACCCTCGGGCTGTGGTGACAGCTGCCGCTGAAGCAACTTTTAAAGAATCTGCACAACCAGATGAGGTCTCCAACGGCCAATCAGAGACCCTTGTTGGGCAAAGGCCCACCTGACCCTACCCACTTTCTAAAAACACTTGGCGGATGCCGGGAAAGGTGATGGAGGTGCTCCACGTCGGGATCCCTGGCTATAAGGCCTCCTGAGCAAAATATTCCCATGATGCCTTGAGGAGGAGCAGTCCCGGGGGGGGCGCTTGGCCTTCGGACGTCCTTGCAGAGCGACAGCCTGCAAGAAGCAAGCAGCTGGGCCCAGCCTAGGAAGAAGGACGTGCAATCAATGTTCCCTCTAAGCTGTGGAGACCTGTGAGCAAAAATTCTACTTTGTGAGTTACTGGCATTAAAGCTGTGAGCCAGCGATTCGGCTACTACATAAACTAGTTTGCTCTGGAGCCCTCCTTCCTGAGTGAAGACAAAAATGTGTGAGCCGGAGGCTAAAAAACGGTGAGCTAGCTCACACTAACTCAGCTTAGAGGGAACACTGCTTGCAGCCCAAATGGATCGCCTGTGCCTAAAGGGGCAACTGCCAGCAGCAGGTGAGGAACTGCGGTGGGCAGCAGAGCACGCCGGGGGCATGAGCCAGGAGCTCTGCGCCCACAGGACACAAGCCTTGGGCCCGTCCTTTCCTAAAGCCAGACTGGAGGCCGCCAGTGTTCCCTCTAAGCTGAGTTAAGTGTGAGCTATCTCACAGTCTTTTTAGCCTCTGGCTCACACATTTTTGTCTCCCCTCGGGAAGGATGGCTCCAGAGCAGACTAATTAATGTCAAAGCCCCATCGCTCACTCACAACTTCAATGCCAGCCGCTCACAAAGTAGGATTCTTGCTCACAAGACTTCACAGCTTAGAGGGAGCGTTGGAGGGCACGTCCAGGTGCACTTCCCGTGTGCTTTTCCGGAAGCAGCCAAGGCACGGAGGAGGGTAGGGACAGCTGAAACGCATGACTACAAAGACAGATGGGTCTACTCTGTCTCTCCCCACCTGACTATTTGCCATCTCTTAAAAGGGGAGGGGATTTTGTCCAGACGGAGAGGCGGTTAGCCCAGCCTCCTACCTTTGGCTTCTGCACTCCATCTTCCTCCGACTTTTTCCGCCGCTTCGTCTTCTTCTCCTTCTTCTCCCGATGCTTCCTCCGCTTTTTCTTCCCCACTCCCCCATAATCGCTTCCGCCGCTCTCCGACTTGGCCCGATACTCCTCTCGGTCCGACTCAAACTCATCCTCGCTGACCTGCCAAGAGAATTGAGGGGGGGGGGAGACCAGCAAGCAAGATAATTAACAGTAATTAATGACAAGGCTGCCTGCTGGGCACAGACAAGCCCAGTGCCAAGAAGAGGGCGACCCGTTAATTGCAGCGCAGCAAAGGGGCTTAGCTAAAGCAAACAGGCTGCGGCTCCTGCATGCTTACAAGACAAAAGAGTCAGCCAGGAAACAGGTGAGGGGGCAGGCAAGTCAGCAGCAGGCAGCCCCAGGCAGGAAACTGTCTGGTACGCAGCAGGACGCCTGAAGTAGGTGCAGGGCCTTGAAAGGGAGACCCAAGGGAGTGCCGGCACGCGAGGACGCTCGTGTTTTGCAGGCACAAACAACCCACTTTCCCTCAAAATGCAGAAGAGCCAGCAGGGACTCCTGGCAGGGTGCCACGTTCTGCCACTTGTTCCTAATTGGCTCCGCGGCACTAGAAGGACAGGCAACACAGCGCGCCACTGAGTCCCACTTCTTGCTGCTTGCCACCTTTCTGGCGGCTCCCATCAGCTCCAAAGGGCCCGGAAACTGGCAGTGCCACTGTGCAAAACACAGACAAGACTCCCGGGGGAGGCAGAAATACGCTCTCTGTTCTGTTCTTACTTACTAATTTCTTGCGTTTCCTGGGTTTCCCGGGCTTGTTCTCCTTCTGCTTCTTGGGCCCTCGTTTTTTCTTCTTGACAACGAGGGGGCTCTCTAAGCTGCGAAGCTCCTCCTCGTCCTCGTCTGCAGGTGGCACGGGGCGGGCAGCCCGAGGCAGAAAGAAAGACAAAAGAGTTCGCCCATCTGCTTTGCTGCTTCTGGCCAACTACCATTCCCAGCTCAGGGGCATGCCGAAGTGATTATCCTCTCTCCAGCCTGCCCTCCTACCCCGGCATTGCTCTCCCTGCCAGCAAATCTCACTACTGCACTTCAGGGCCACGCTACAGGAAGCTGAAACACTACTACAGTTCCCCTGTGGTCAGCCTTATCCAGAGAGGCTGGATTGTTTCTAATTTTGCGTTTTGCTTTTTTTCCCTCTTCCCCCTCTGTCCTCCACCAGTCGGAAGAGCGGAAGAGCTACCATCTGTTCCAATCCTTCCAAGCTGGTCAGAGGCCGCCGATTACAATTCCCTGAAGGAGCTCCCACAATGGCCTTGGCTCATTTTGCTTGAAAAACCACTTGAAGCCAGGAAAGAGGGGGGGGGGGGTTTGCTGGTCTGCTGGCAGGAGCTGGAAGCACATACGGCCACACCAGCTAGAGAGACAGTGAGCTGACACAAGGCCAGGCAGATGGCAACACAAGAAAGGGGATTTCTGGGGTTACGACATCACCCGTCCACACGTGATCGGAGTCTGTTTTAACGTAACATCACTGAACCAGGGCTCTTTTTGTAGAAAAGGCCCAGCAGGAACTCATTAGCATAATAGGCCAGACCCAACACCAGAAATCTATTAGCATATTAGGCCACACCCCTGCCAGCAGAGCTCATTCGCACATTAGGACGCACCCCCAGGTTGCCAGAAGTGTGGTTATCCATCCACACCCACCTTTTGTTTGTTATTCTGTTTACCTTGTTTGTTGTCAAAACCCAGAGCTTTTTTGTAGCAGGAACTCCTTTGCATGTTAGGCCACACACCCCTAATGTAGCCAATCCTAATGAGTTTCTGCTGTTGGGTGTGGCCTATTATGCTAATGAGTTCCTGCTGGGCGTGGCCAACTCGGGAGCCAGCCAGAACTCCGTTCCTGTGCGTTCCTGCCCAAAGATAGCCCTGCTGAA